ATGGTATTCCGAGAAATTCAATCTTCGGATCGTATCAAACGCTACTATGACGCATTAAATGATGCTGTCGAGGAGTAGGACACCATAAAACGTCTTAGATTCAGCAGCAGACCCTGTTCAACACTGGTGGTCGGAAGCGGTTGCTTGGTATCCAGCTTGCTGTCGTAGCAACGCAGGCTCAAGAAGGTTGACGTTCTCATCGTGCAAGCGCAGATTTTTCATTGTCAAGGTAACGGTTGTCGCTGTCGAGGCGTCGGCTCGAGTTGTTAAGTTCGCGAATGATATCCGCTTTACGTCGCAATTCCTCCATCTATCAGTTGCTGCTTTTCATCACGAAGGTCCGAGATGCGGCCGCGCTTGCTGTCTAGCTCCGATGTCAGCGCGATCAATCGATTGGTAAGTGCCGTTTTCGCTTCTTGAAGTGACGCATTCTGACTGACAAAAAACCCTGAATCTCTCGGTTTCCACGGTGAGTAGCTTGTTCTTCTGTGTGGCGCGATCACAGCGACATACCACTGTCGCGAATGACACGCTTGGGTTTGGCTCCCTCGACTTTCGTGCTGCGCTGCATGTGCTTGGGTTGAATTTGAGTGGCGGAACGGCTTCGCTTCAGACGTGGTTGTTCTGTTTGTTGAGAAGTAGAATTCGCTTCAGCTGCTCCCGACGCCTGAGTTGAGGGCAATGAATTCACGATGCTCTGGTTTTCGCTGTCTTCATCGTGCTCACTAGCACTGTTCTCGTCGTATTCGTCGTTGTCGCTGCGCTCTTCAAGGCTCTGCGAGTCGTCCACAGTAACATTGTGCACCGTTGTTCATGATCCGTTGTTGAATTTCCACCGCCATGGTACGCAAGGCAGAGCAACGTGTCTTGTCGCTAGGAGCCGCTGGAGCAAGAACATGGCGAAATCGACTTTTGAGCGAGTTCCATCGTACGCGTATCACGACCCTCAACCAATGCGTGCTGTGTGTTGTACTGATCTCGCACTCGATCCCATTCGTTTCCTCCACGAGGAAGGTCTTGATCAATGAGTGTAAGAAGTGCCATGGTATCTGACTTACTGTAGCCTTGCGCACCGACCGGGCGTCCTCCCTTGGTCGGAGGTTTCTCCTTCGAGCCCTTCTTGCCTTTCGAACGAGGTCGTTGCTCCACTTGCGCTTCTTGCCCGTATGCTTGTGATGGTTGGGACGCATCAAATGCGTCTGTTTCGGATGCAGGATCGTCGGGTGCTTCAGATACCGCAGGAGACGTCTTCGTCGCACGTTTGCTTTTCATTTTCTTTCCGTTTGGGCGTGCCGTGGC